AGTGCTGACAAATAAGTAAATGAGCTATAAAACAACACACTCGCATAACCTAAAACCATGACAGAGAAAAGCAAAAACAAATTATGGACACAGAACTTTTTTCAGAAAGTTAAATGAGAAAGAAAAAACATAAGTTAACTAAGTAATAAACACTTGCTATTACAAATCTTTAAAACTTTACATTTTCAATTTTATCTAAAAATTGCAGATTTATTTTTAATAGCACCCAATATCTAAGAAGTAAAACCAATAAGATACTCTAGTTCACTTTGTTTGAAGAGTTTGAATTGGAACACTTATTTAAAGAATTAACTTGGAATGTAATACCAAGAATTTAAAATGTTTTTACTCTTTGGTCCAGTAACTTAAATACTAAAAAAAGGCAAAGCAAAACAACACATGAACAAAGATTGCATTTTAACTTCAGAACCAATGTAATAAGATAAAATATCTTATTTTAGGGCCCAACACGATAGTTCAGTAGCTAAAATCCTTGCCTTTCATGCTCTGGGATTCCATATGGGTGCCGGTTCATGTCCCGACTGCTCCACTTCCCATCCATTTCCTTGCTTGTGGCCTGAGAAAGCAGTGGAGAATGACCAAAAGTCTTGAGACCCTGCATCCATGTGGGAGACCTGGGAGAAGCTCCTAGCTCCTGGCTTCAAATCGAATCAGCTCTGGCTACTTGGAGAGTAAAACTAGTGGATGGAAGATCTGTTTTTCCTCTCTGTAAAATCTGCCTTTCTAATAATATCAATAAAAACTACATATATATATATATATGTATATATATATATACACATATACGTGTGTGTATATATATAGATAGCTTATTCTATAAAGAAGCAGAGAACCTTCTATGTGCCAAGGCCATTTAGATGTTTATAACACGGATTGCTGGCCATTCCAAATTATCTACTTAAAAAGAGCCTTCTATAGATGTACTTAAGTTTCAGTCCCATTTGTGGCTGCCTTTGACAAAACTACACCAAAGAATTCTGCAAGCCTTACACCTGCCTGCAGGTGTCTACCCTGCTCTATATGCTGGGTTTGGTTAGCTAAAATTAAACTGATTAAAACAATGAGAAGGGAGAAAAAGAAACTATACTAGCCTGCCCCGAATCAGGCCACACAACCCCCACCTAGCCCCACTAACATGCCCCTCACAATTTCTTTCTGATTTATCCAAGGTGTAGTTCAATACGATCCTGAGAGGAAAAAAGCACTCGAGTTTCCAAGTGACTCAGAACAAGAGTTTTCACAGACAAAAATAAGAAAACATTTCTAGAACATTACCTTCTAAATGATTAACCTCATCAATAAATCCATGTTGGTCGCATGTAATAACTTTCAGCACTGTGATGAAAGTTACCAAGTTTTCTAAAAAACTGATATTTTAGGGGACCTGGGAAACTAGAAAATGTGGGTTAGGGGCCAGCATTGCAGTGCAGCATGGCAAGTCGCCACCTGTGATGCTGGCATCCCACAGAAACACTAGCTGGGAGTCCCAGCTGCTCCACTTCCAATCTAGTCTCTGCTACAATACCTGGCAAGTAAAATGGCCCAACTGCATGTGCTCCACCACCCTCTTGGGAGACCAGGACAATTTCAGTCTCCTGGCTTCAGCTTGGCCCAGCTCTGGCTGTTGCAGCCACGCAGGATGTGAACTTCTCTCTCCACCCCCACAACCTTCCTTATCCTCTTCTGTAACTATGCCATTCAAATAAAAAAATACTTTCCTAAGTGTGTGGAAAATTTCCTGTGCCATTCTGGAAAAGATTAACTATGGAAGAGTTCTTTCTTACTAAAGCAGTTCAAACGACATTCTAAGCAGAAACTGGGTCTCGGGGCCCGGCACAGTGGCGCAAGTGGTTGGGGTCCTCGCCTTGCACGCCCGGGATCCCATATGGGCGCCGGTTCTATCCCGGCAGCCCCACTTCCCTTCCAGCTCCCTGCCTGTGGCCTGGGAAAGCAGTCGAGGACGGCCCAAAGCTTTGGGACCCTGCACCCGCGTGGGAGACCCGAAAGAGTCTCCTGGCTTCGGATCGGCATAGCATCGACCGTTGCGCTCACTTGGGGAGTGAATCATCGGACAGATGGAAGATCTTCTTCTGTCTTTCCTCTCTGTATATCCGCCTTTCCAATAACAAAAATAATAAAAATAAATCTTTAAAAAAAGAAAAAAAGAAACTGGGTCTCTTTGAAAAATATAAAAAATATATAGGTAAATAATACTAAGTTCCTTTTTATTCACAAAGAAACCATCTAAGTCCCATGTGATGAGAATGCTCACTGAAGTTGCAGCCTGAGGAACTGGGGAGGAAAACGAAATAAAAGGCAAACAAACTCCAGAAGCAGAGCTATCTTTGCTTACCAATGCCACGCTATAGTACACAGTAAGCTGTGAGGATTACATAGCAAACTAGTACTTGAATTCAGGAAAGCAGCAGGATATAAGGTTAACATGAAAATTCAGCAGCATTCTTATATATAACACCAATCAGTATAAAAAGATTATGAAAATAATTCCATCTATAATAGCATAAAGATACTTTGAGGAACCACCACCATGGGCATAGCAAATTAGGCTACCACCTACAATGCCAGCAACCCTTCTGGGCACCAGTTTGTGTCCTAGCTGCTCCACTTCCAATCCAGTTCCTTGCCTATGGCTTGGGAAAGTAATAGAGGATGGCCCAAGTTCTTGGGTCCCTGCTGCCCATGTAGACGATCAGGAAGAAGCTCCAGGCTACTGGCTTCAGAGTGCCTCAGCTGTGGACATGCAGCCATTTGGGAAGTGATTCAGTCAAACAAAAATCTTAAAAATAAAAAATACATTGGGAGCTGGTGTGGTGGGAAACAGGTTAATTCTCCATTTGCCGGTGCCAACATCCCATATGGGCATTAGTTTGTATACTGGTTGCTCCACTTTCCATTCAGCTCCCTATTACTGACGAGGGAAAGTAGCAGAACGGGTCCTTGCCTCCCACATGGGTGAACCAGATGAACCTCCAGACTTCTGGCTCTGATCTGGCCTATCTGTTGGTCACTGCAGACATCAGGGAAATGAAAATTTCTCCAACTCTCTCTCTCTCTGTAACTCAAGCAGCTCAAGTGACCTTAACAGACCAGAGAATTTATTTTTTTAAAGAGAAATCAGTTTACCTGTTTTTTTTAAAAAAAAAAAAAGAATTAAATCTAGATCACCTTGCTCATGGCGTGGTGGCAGGCAGGCAGCTGCGGCAGCGGGCCCGCCCCAGGACAGTGCCTTGTCCAGGCGCCCCAGCGCGCGGCCTGCGGCGGGGGGCATCCTTGTGCCTTAGACCTGCCCACCTGGGCTGACCGGGGACCCCCGAGACCCCCCCCCACCCGCAGGCATCCCCACCCCTCAATCAAGTGACGTGATTGGCTGCGGTCTCCCGTGACCAAATACTCTTGCTCCGTTTATATGCAAGAGATAGTTTTTAAGTAACTTTTTATAGCGTGATACAGTGGTATGCGTGTGTCCGAACTTGTATTCTCTACTCTGTGTATTTTATTCTTTGTAACTCGGCCCCCAGGCAGGCCCGCTGCCACGGCCTGCGCTGCCTTAACCCTCCCGCGCCGCGAAGCGAACTCCCTTTTCAGGGCTTTGCATGTACTCTTCCCTTTGCAAATTTTGGACCAAAGTTTTGTTTCTGTTTTTATGTCTGCCTCTGGTGGTGGGACTAACTCTTGAGTCTTATGGCCCTCCCTCCCCCCCGCCCGAGCGGGCAGGCAGAGGGGTCTCCCTGGAGTTCGCTAGGGTATAAATATTTATAGTATTTTATACCTGTCGTGAGGCGGCAGCGCGGTTTCTATGGCGGCAAATGTATATTTTGGTTACGGCCTCAGCACATCGCGGAAAAAAAGAACTCTCGGTTAGGCGAACAGCCCCGCACCGTTGGTTGTTTTTGTTTTTTTAAGTTATGTTATTGGCCTGGCATGGTAGCCTACTGGCTAAAGTCCTTGCTTTACATGCACATGCCGGGATCCCATATGGGTGCTGGTTCATGTCCCGATTACTCCACTTCCCATCAGCTCCCTGCTTGTGGCCTGGGAAAGCAGTGGAGGCTGGCCCAGAGCCTTGGGACCCTACACCTGTGTAGGAGACCCAGAAGAAGCTCCTGGCTCCTGGCTTAAGGTGGTTCAGCTACAGCCATTGCAGCCCCTTGGAGAATGAACCAGCAGATGGAAGGTCTTTCTTTCTGTACCTACTTCTCTCTGTAAATCTGCTTTTCCAATAAAAATAAATAAGTTTTTTTTAAAAAAAGTTACATTATTTATGAAAAGCCAAAAAACAGCAGTCACTTAAGTGTATGCTGATAAGATGGAAAATGTAATCTATACACAGCAGAAATATGGGACTAATTTTTAGAAGAAACAGTTAAAATAATTAAGGTTGATACCTTTAGTTTTAGCTTGCCACTTTACCAGTGGCAAGTGGTAGAATGGGGAAAAGACTACTACTTTTCTTTACAATTTTATAAAGGTACTGCATTATTCAGCCTTGTAAGGGAAGGAAATTCTGACATGAACTACAACACAAAAGAACCCTGAGGAGTCATGGTTAGTGAAATAGATGAGTATGGAATGGTGGAGGATAAGAGCTGAGAGCAGGAAGAAACACAGTTATCACTTAATTGGTACACAGCTTTAGTGTCACAAGAAAAAGATTCTGGGGAGTTGTTGGTAGCAACAGATACAATACATGAATGTATTCACTAAGAAAAAAGTATAACTTAAAAATGATCAAGACAGCAGATTTAACAGGTATTTTACCACAACAACAAATTTAGAAGATAACATTCAAATGATATGAAATAACAGCCACAGTCAAGACTGTCAGTGGTTTATGTGCACATTTAAATATTTCATATTAATAATTCATTTTTTAAAATACTGACAACAAATCATATATTGATGTCTTCTTGTTTTATTTATTCACTTTCCCAGTAGAAACTGATTTTCCCAACACTTACCTAAACTTGTGGGCTTGATAAGAACATCAAGGACATCATAAAAGGGCAGGTTTTTTAACTGCACATCAGGATGGACAGGAGGAATTGGGGGAGATGGCTGCTGCATCTCAAATGCAGGCTTCGTATCTGGCATCAAGACAGAACCAACTGGAGAGGACGGTGCGTGAGAAGCAACTGAAGTAGAAGGCAAAGCGTGGATTCCGGCCACAGCCAAGTCAGGTTCCACAGGTGAGGAGCTACCATCCAAACTGAAAACTGAGGATTTGATGGTGGATAAGTCAGTAAGTCCTTCTAAAGTCCGTGGATATCGGCGGCGATACAATTCTCGGATTTTAATCTGAACAGCAGGGCTGCAGCCACTCTTCAACAAATGCAGTGCCCTCATCAGGAGGTCATGCTTGCGTCCACTTTTATTCCTTCCAGCAAAGCCCAGTAACACTTGTAGTTCAGAAACCCTAAAACTAGAAACCATGTTCTAAAAGGAAGAAAAAAAAGCCAACAGTTACCCACAAATATAAAAATGTTAGTATATAAATGCTAAGCCATGATCTATCCTGCTTGCACTAGTAGCTGGCAATTTCACATACCACGTAGAACTGTTATTACTGATAAAGTCACCATTGCCCACAAAATTAGCTCAAGTTACGTTAAGTGCATTTTGTTGTACTCTTGATTTTGGTAACCTACATACTAACAGTTTTTATTGACCACTGCGTTATCTGATTATGTTTAAATGTAAACCCAAAACTGTTTAATGACCATAAGATCTATAAAACTGATGAAAATGTTCTTTCAACCAAAGCCTTCCTATATACAAGTTACAGACTATCAGTGACTAATCAAACAAACAAACAAAAACCAGATTTTTACAAGGTGTTAAGTGTAACCTGTGTTGCCAAATAACAATTTTACAGAATCAGGACAGAACTGTGAGCCAAAATTAAGTGACTTCTCTACCCAACAAAAACACAACTGAACAGGAAACACAGTAAGAAAACAAAGATGCTTTAAACAATAAAGCTAAACATCGCCAACATCTATTTCAGAATGCAAACAGCTAAAACAATTGCATTCACAAGGAAATGAGTAGCCCTAAATCTTACAAAGGGTTAAGATACCTTCCTTCCACTCTTGATTTGTTCTTGGGTGTAAGTTCATACACAGGGCCTTTGTGGAGCAGGGGCCTTCTGTGGCTTCACTCTTTTCTATGAACCCAAGGGCAGGTGAGAAGGGGGAAGGGAAAGGGCCTAGGCTAGTGTGGTATGCCCCTGGGCACTGCCTGGGGTCTCACATATGCACTTGTGCCACAGGCAAGTGGAACGGTAAGGTCCCAGACCTGCATGCATGTCAGAGGACCACATCTTGGAACCTATCCATGATGTTGGGTCTCTAGTAGGTAAACAGAGCTCCAGGCTAACATGCCACCACACCAAAAGACTGGGTTTGCAAAGATTGGCCTGGGGAACCCATATGTTCCAAAGCACAGGGACTGTGAATTGCTCAGAGAAGGGGTTATGGAGATGTGAGGGAGAGAGGACCACTGAGCAAGTATGTCGCAGGCGAGGAATGAATTCTGGAGGATATCCACCAACAAGGCCACTGTATTTACAGGCTAATGAAGAGGGGCTGAGCCTCAGCAATTCAAAGAGAGGAAGTTAGAGGACCCTTCTGGGTCAGACTGATGCACCTGCCCACATAGGACACCTGAGCTGGGCTAGTTAACATGGCTCACCAATGATCACCATGCACCAGTGCACACTAAAACTAGAGCTGGGACCTACCTCACAGGGCTAGATAACAGTACCCTCCAGTGAGTGTCAGAACACGGCACAGGTAACACAAGGCTGGGCCATGACACTGATCAGCATGCAACGAACAAAGGTCTGGTGGGCAGATTCTGTGGGGCTATGTGGGCCCAGCCCCTGTGGAACTGCAATTTTCACTGGTTGGCTTAAGAGCTGGGGGTAGTAACCGGCTGAGCTAGCCATGACCATGGAAACTTCCGACACTTATGGGTACTGGGGTTGGGAACAGGCCAGGCTGTTTCAGGCTGCAGCACCTACAGGCACAACCAAGAACAGGGTATGGGGCAGGCCAGACCATGTCATCCATCAGCTCATACAAAGGCCAGGATTCAGGAGGCAGACTATGCCAGGTAAAGGCCAGCACCTTCTGGCACATGTGAGATCTGGGTCTGGGAGTGGGTCTGGTTGGGGAACTTGGTAAACTCCCCTGGTGGGACACTGCTCTCACTGGTGAACATGTGACTCAGGCCTGGGTGTTGGTCAGGACAGGTAAGACAGCTCCATCCATCAGCAAGTATGTAGTTTAGTTCGGGGGGGGGGGGGGGCGGGCAGACCAGGCAGAACGCAGGTCATGCCAGGCTAAGCTAAAACACATACTGGTTTGCATAAGCCAGGGATGAGAGCATACTGGGCAGGGCTAGGCTGCAGCATCCACTGGCAAAGGCCATGACCAGAGATGGGCTATGCCAAGCTGGGACAGAGCAGCCACTGAAATGCAAGATCTGTGGCTGGAAACAAGCCTGACTGGGGAAAGCTAAGGGCTCGCACTAATGGGCCATGATTCCCCACCAGTGAGTGTGAGCTGGAATGGGGGCAACGATCAGTATAGGACATGACTGCAGTATCCTTTGGTGGCACTGGTATGTAAACCTGGTCTTAGGTGTGCCACACTGGGCTAAACTCTGGCACCTGTTGGTGCTTGTGAGAACCGGCGAGGGTGTAGGACAGGTTGGCCTAGGTCTTGGAACCCACTGAAATGCACAAGAACTGAGTCTGGGCTTGGACCAGGTGTGGCTGGGCTTTAGTACCCAACCCTAAGAACCAGAATGGGTGTGGGCTGGTTGGGCAAGGTCACTATTCCTGTCACGACAGGAGGTAGACTAAGCAGTAATCACACTGGATAGTGCTGTTCTACATCATACCATAAATTACAATGTCATGGTCATCACTGTTTCCTCCATAAGCAAAATGAAGACGTCATTATATCATCCATATACACTAGGGACAAAAAAAGACAGGAAACTAGAAATACTGTGGCCTAGGTCATGACACACTAATTACATCTCACTCATGGTTTCATACATGAAAAAGTATTAACTTTTTAAGTGTTTCCTGGGCAAAGAATGAGATCTATTTCTCAAGAACTCTCAATATTTTCATAAGTGTAAGATACCAACAAAGGCACTCACATAGACACAAGATCTCTCTCTAAAAGACCAGATTCTCTTAAAACTCGTTACGTTTGCTTCACTCCTTGCATTTTCAGACATCCTTACTTTAAGAGAAACCTTTCTGCTATTTTTAAAATATTTATTTATTTTTATTAGAAAGTCAGATTTATAGAGGGAAGGAGAGACAAAGTACCTTGGATACTGGGGCAGTTGGGAGGCTGGGTATGACCTCTTATCTTCCTCCTTTCCCCCAGATACAGGAAGATGTAAAAAAATTGGAAACAATGAGCACACCCACTTTCCCCTAACCTTCAATCCTTCCCACCCTGATCAACTATATAAACATCATCAAAAATAAATTACAAAATTTAACCAAAACATAGTTCAATGAAGGCAAGAAAACAAAGACCAGAACAGCACAAAACAAATGAAAAGCTGAAAATGAATGTAAATTTATTTAAAATTCCTTAAAACAAAACAAACTCTCCACCAGAGAATAAGATTAGGCTATGTCATTACACAGCAGATGTCAGAGATAATACTAGGGTGCTTCAAACAGTTTGTGGGGGCCGGAACATTGGTTCAACCAGCTGATCCTCCACCTCCAAGCACTGTATCCCATATGGGTGCTGGTTTGTGTTCTGGCTGCTCCACTCTCCATCCAGCTCCTTGCACACTGCCTGGGAAAGCAGCAGCAGATGTCTTTGAGATCTTCTGCAACTGTGCAGAAGACCCAGAAGAAACTGCCGGCTCTTGGCTTCAGATTGGCTCAGCTCTGGCCGTTGCAGCTATTTCAGAAGCGAATCAGCAGATGGAAGATGTCTCTTTTATCTCTGTAAATCTGCCTTTCTAATAAAAATAAATCTTATTAAAAAGTTTGTTGAAAAGCAGAAATAAAAGGTAAGTTTATTTTCAGGCAAAAATATCTTGAAATCTACACATATGAGGGGTTCTCAAAGTTTATGAAAAACCTAACAGCATGGATTTCAAAAAATATACATTGCACCAAAACAAATTAATCCTTTAATTTTATTTTCCCACAATTTTTAAAATAAGATTCAGTTTTTTTATTGGAAAGATTTACAGAAAGAAGAGACAGAAAGTTCTTCATCTGTTGGTTCACTCCTCAGTCTCAACAGTGCAGCTGAGCTGACCCGAAGACAGGAACTTCCTCCAGGCCTTCCATGTGGGTGTAGTGTCTTAGGACTTGAGCCAACCTCTGCTGCTTTCCCAGGCCATCAGCAGCGAGGCAAATGGGAAATGGAACAGCTAGCACTTGAATCAGCACTCATATGGGACGCAAGTGCCAAACACAGAAGCTTAACCTTCTATGCCTTGACACCAGTCCCTTTTTCCACGTCTAAGTACACGCAATGTAGCAATACTAAGAAAACGCCACAAATATAAATTTGAAGCTTAGATGATCAATTCCTTAAACTGTCAAAACTGAATCAATATGAAACAGTTAATGCAAACAACATTCTATCTACTAAGAACTGTAATTCCCAATTATGTAACTCCAAGACAGATTCTTGGACACAGATAATTTCACTGGAGAACTCTACCAAACATTTAAACACCAATTCTGTTTATACACCAATTCTGTATAATTTCAAGAGAATACTTACGAATTTATCTTATGAACCCAGTATTACTGTGACACCAAAACAAAACAAAGCTAAAACAAAATAAAACTACAATAACCCTCATGAATATAAACAGTAACATTTCTAACAAAATTATAAGTATAACGCAGTTATGTATAAAAGAACTGCATATTATCACCAAATGGGTTTAGTTCAAAGAATGAAGAATGGTTCAATGTTTAAAAATCAATGAAGCGGGTCCAGCGCTGTGGCCTAGCAGTCAAAGTCCTCGCCATGAGCATTCTATATGGGCGGCGGTTCTAATCCCGGCAGCCCCACTTCCCATCAAGCTCCTTGCTTGTGGCCTGGGAAAGCAGTCAAGGACAGCCCAAAGCCTTGGGACCCTGCACCAGGATAGAAGACTCAGAAGAAGCTGCTGGCGCCTGGCTTCAGATCGGATTAGCTCAGCTCCAGCTGCTGCACTCACTTGGGGAGCAGAAGATCATCCTCTCTGTTTCCCTTCTCTATATATCTGACTTTTTAGTAAAAATAAATAAAATCTTTAAAAACTAGGTAAAATCAATTAATCAAAAGAAAAAATCTAGATACTTTAATATCTAACAGTATTTAACACAAGTAAAAAAAAGCATTCCTAGATACAAAAACTCAAACAAAGTAAAAGCTTCAAGCCAT